TGCAGAGCCATCAGGGACACCAAATGGGGCGTGTGTGTTTTATTATTAGTAGACTTTGTGCTTGAATTCGTGGTGTCCTGTATAGTGCTGTGTTTTGTGTATTTTCTTATCCTGAAAAATTGTGGAAGAAACTCTAGATATCAAACTGGTAAAGCTTGAAATAATCTTAATTACTTTATTAATGCTTGGTAGCATGTGAATTTAATCCAGGTGTAACTAAAGTCTAATTTAAGTTTTGAACATATTTTTTGTCATAAATCCATTTCTTCAAAGTAACTAAAGGTACTACATAAATGCATTGGAGTGAAATTACAAAGTAGCATAAAATAGAAACACGTAAAGGGGACCCATCATGCAAAATACACTTTTGCACGTCTTTTATACATGAATATGTGTGTCAGGGAACTCACCAAGTGTCAGAAAACACAACCCTCTCTCTTTTCCTCCATACCCAAATCTCAAAAAAAGGGGCTGCAACGGATCTGATACAGATTTGAAAATGCTCTGACGTCAGGAACGAGGAGCTCCGCCTATATGGGCAACTCTCCACCTATCCCCCATGGTTGCCCTTCTGTTTATTCTCCGCTGTGGNTAGCGTTTGGTATTTTTTCCATCTACTACTTCTCCCATTCACAAATCCAAAATCAAATCCAAAAATCTAAAGTGCTATTAATATGTAACAAATATATTCAATTTCAGAGCAGAAGAAACAGCCTTCAAGGGTCAAACTCTGCACATACATCATTCAGCAGTGCACAGTGAAGCTCCAACATTGTATGAACAAGCAATACTTTGAAATGCAAAAGTCTGTGTGTGTGTGTGTGTGTGTGTGTGTGTGTGTGTGTGTGCGTGCGTGCGTGCGTGCGTGCGTGTGTGTGTGGTTGTGTACGAGAGTCTCTTTAATACATTTTTTCAACTCGAGCGTCAAATTCGCCTGACGCGTTCTCGCGATAGCCAATCAGCGGTGAGGATCTCAGCCTGCCGTCACTGACGTTGAATCAGAAAACCAAAACAGCAGCCGTTAGCTGTTAGCACTCAGAGCTTACAGCTCCTCATATCTGTTCAGAAACTAGACAAAAGTTAAACATGAACAAAACAGACTGTCTGTGTCATGGCGAATACAGTCGCTGCTTTATTTCTGTCTTTAGGACGTTGTTGTGAGTTTGGACGGAGCAGCTACAGGTTAGTTTAGCCTGATGGATCCGATCTCTATTCAGAAAACACGCATTTTAAAAGGTGTTTCGCCTGCCGTCTGTCTGCAGACTTGTTAAAGCATTGATTCATTCTTTTTACTAACCGGTATCAGTATGTTGTTACTTCGGCATCATTTTGAAACGTGTATTACAATTAAATCACGGTCAAATATGTTCATTTTGTTGTAGTTGGCTTCCACCACAATATTTACATGGATATAAGCCCCGCCCCCTCTCCAGCGCGTCCTGTTTAAATGACAGGAGTAAACACAGCTGACAGCCGAAGTGAAACTCCAGCGATTATATTCGCATCGCGTCCGTGTGAACGCAGCTTAATGCAATTCAGAGACCAGACCACTGCTCTGACGCTTTTAAAGCAACTTCGATATTTGAACATTGTGAGGGGCACAAAGGCCATGAAGGCCGTAGGACGTAGGCCTACAATTATTGACTTGGCCGTCAAGGCCGCCGCTAAATTCCTACCCTGGTGTTAGGTTCTCGGTCATCAACTCCTGCTGCTCTCTAAAAACAAAGTTGAACAAGCTTTATTAAGCCTGTTGAATTAAACATTACTATGTTGCTTCATCATAACACTTGAGGCTATGAACGCATTTAAAAAAATATATATATATCTATTTTGCAGCACAGCGCCTTGATCCTACACATCTTCTCTTGAGATTTGCTCAAAACAGAAGTTGCCTTTGGGGGCTACTAAAGGAAAATGTTGTGGTTGCCTACATTGCATAATGTACTTCCTTCAAGCATCGCACACTTATATCAAGCCAGGAATCTGTTTGCTTTGCCTTCATAAAGTAACTGAGCATAAGAAATAAGTATTTTTTTTATAAGTTTCAAAACAAAGTGGCAAGAAAATATTTTGTAGCTCAACATCTTTTCTGTTCCTTATAATTTTAAGCCTCTGTAGTCTCTCAATAGTTGGTTGTTGGGAGTGCAAATCCATTAGCCGAGTGTTATTTTGGAGAGCCGAGTTACACCCACTCTTTTAAGTCTGCTTCCTTTTGAATCTTTAAAGGAAAACAGATTAAGGAGGATTCGCGCACACTAGTCCTCAACAGAAGTCTATTGACGTAGAGTAATTTACCAAAGCAAGGGAAGGAGGACTTGAGATATTGGCTCCACATATTGAAATGTAAATAACATCATTAGGGATAAGTGGCATGTTTTCTGCTAATCTGGATATAAAGTCACTCCATCTCCTAATATCCTTTACATGCACACAAACCTATAGAACACACTACAGGAAAGGGAACGCTTTAAAGCATAATCGAATAGCAGCGCAAAAGTGATTGATACACACTTTCATTTCATGAAAAATCCTGCATGTGTGTGTATGTGCACATAAAGGTCAACTACAGGCTTGCGCAGGACTCTGAACTGAATTCCAAATAACCCATCAATGCAATACATACCGATGGGTGACAGATTAGAAAAAAGGTTGGTGTTGAACCTCTAGAAGGAAATTCTTCTTATTACAGATTCTCCGTGTTCAGAGAGAGAAAATGACATCAACAAATTGACTTCTACAGCAATTGGTTATATTTGTTGATAACGGCTCTGCTCTTTGAGAATCTGAGAATTCTTCTGAGAACTCATATTCTTTTAATGTACATGCAAATGAAAGGAAGCTTCAAAAGTTCAGTAAGCAGGATATGTATTTAGTTTCCTCTTTGGGTGTGTTTCTACTATTTTCCAATCATTTGGAGAAGGTATATCCTTCAAACTCAAATGTTTTACATTGTAGAAATGTTTAGATGATACCTACACTTACATACAGTTATATTATGTATTGAGAATACACTATTACATTTCATGTGTTTTCTATCTGCAAATTGCATGGTCACCTTGAATTGCGTGTATTTATCGAGTTGTCAGTGTGTGTGCATGTGTATTTGCATGTCCCTGTGTGCAGCGTACAGTGAGTGTGTCATTATGTGTGTTCTACAAAGGCTGCACCATGTAGGGCAGTTCATAAAGACCAAGGAGTGGCAAGGGTAAAAGCAGCAGGTCGTGTTTTTTGCGGAGGCTGTGCGGAGGCTGTGCGTGTGGTCGAGCCTCGGCATTGATCGACCACTAAGCCTCCTTGAACACAATGAGGGAACGATCGATCGGCCAGGTGTTACAGAGCTGCTCGCACACTGATAAAAAGACCCTCCAGCGGCCATGCTAACATCCTGTCCCCTTCCTCTGCTCCCGACAGGACCAACAATACACACAGTCCTGTCAGTGCTGCAAGGACATCATACGAGCGATACATGACTTTACCAGTTTTTGCAACATAAGTGTACCATTGTGAAAAATAACAAGATATGACCATGCTGCAGATAAAATGGTAAAACGGTGAAGTGCATGTCTGCCATTGGTGTGCAAAGACAACTGGGTAGAGTGTTGGAGGTGGGGCTCTATTTCTATGATAGTTGCGAAGTGGTGCATTAAGACAACAAGAACAAAAATACTCGAATCATCCGGAGATCTGAGCCTATTGAGATGATGCATTATGTCAATTAGCTGACACTTATATCTGAGGCAACTTACTTACACTTTCATACACAACCATATCAAGCTGTTACAACCCCCCTCCATTCCACTAGGGTTCTCTTTGCTCTGTACTTGCTGCTCTTTGTTTTTGTCAGCGGATACAAGTTGCGCAACAAATCAATTCCGCACAATTGATCATGCTTAACGTTTAATAAACAAATCAATTCTGCACAATTGATCATGCTTAATGTCATTAAGATATGAAAATAACCAGGTAACCGCATTGAATGATGTAGATTTGGGGATGTATAATATCTTCTATCCCACAAAAAAATGCAGTATAAGCAACACAATAAGTTGACGAAACACTCAAATGGAATAAAAGTCAGATTGACTCGTGTCGTAAATTATAGTATGTTTATAACTAAAAACAATATCAGCAGTGATCCATTGTGTACCCTAAGATATAACAACCAGTTTCAGAATGCAAAGGGTCATTTTAATAATTTTTGTATTTTGATTAAGGTCTGAAAACGGCGACAAAAAACAGGTTGTTGATCTTGAAAACTCTGAGAGCTGCAGATGCAGCAGCAAGGAGGTTACCAGTAATTGGCTCAGACACATAACTGTATATCTCAACACTCTGCAGCAGAAGCCAAACATATTAAGTCTGAACCTCAAGGTCGGTTTATATACGGGTCTCTGACTCAGCATGACTGAAATGTAACATGCTAGGAGTAACAAGCTAGGATGTGGGGTTAATGGAGGCAGTATAGGTCAGGGGTCAGTATTGATCTCAGTACACTGGAAGAAATGAGCTTTTCACATGATGTTTCCAACTTCTGTACTGAATGTATTTTTCTTACAATGTGTTTTATCCAAGCTAAGTATCTCTTACCATAGACAATAACTTTGTAAGTCATAATAAGAGTCAAAAAAGTATTAGATGAAAAAATATTGGCGCATTTCAGTTTCATCCTCCAAACATTTTAAAACACTTGGCCCTCCCAAAAGACCTCTTGATGTCTCCACATCCCACACTGAGGACTAGATATTTAAATTAAACTGAGGGTGGAAAGGTTTAAACAGTTTGGAGACAATTGGTATCAACCCTTTTTATAGATGCACATCTTAAATAGGAGCTGCTTCTTTGTGAGAGCACTCACAGCGTCATGACTAAGGTTGCAGTTAACACAAATGGACAGAAGAGAGGGGAAATCACCCCCGACCACATGCTCACTCCTACACTTAATGTGTTTTTTTTGTAAGTTTGGTAAATATTGCATCATCACCATGGTAACTTACAACTGGAAGAGGATGATGAAGTTGAAGGCATGGCTCATTGGCCGGGAGAGGAAGAGGTAGCCGAGCAGATGGAGGTTGGGCTCCAGGCTTTCTGATTGGTCGTGCAGAGACACAGCATCGGGCTGCAGTAAACCTGTGTCTGAGACACAGAGAGATGTACAAGGCTGTTAAATCACTGAAAATCAGACCATCAGGCCGCAACCATGGTAACAGTTCCTTGTCGACAACAAAAGCTTCACCTCCATGAAGTATTTTTTGGTGTTTTTGTGTTACCCCTGTGTCATGTCTGATTTTATTTTGTGTCTTTGTCCCGCCTTCTATGATTGTCTGTAATGTGTAATCACCCAGCAGCCCTTGTGTTTTTGCCTGCCCTCTCCAGCTTTGTATTGCCATGCGATCAGTTTCTGTCTTTACAGTATACAACACTGTCTTGTCCATGTTTCCTGTCTCTGTATCTGTATTACTCCTTGTTCCCTCCTCGTTTTTGTTTTGCTTAACTGTTGGGGGGTATATATAGCAATAGAATCCATACTAGGCAAGGGAATACAAAACAAAGGACACAAAGGTCGAAATAATTAGGGTGGGGCAAACGATCACAACAGGTGGGAAAACCCGAAGAAAGGACGTTCAAACGGTCATGACACCGGGTGAAACATTTTACAAAATTATAAATGAAACAAAAAACAAGATCTACACCATCATCTCAATAATTGTTTTAATACTCTGCTTAAACTAGTAATTACCTTCCGCCAAGGAGGGTATGTTTTCCACTCAGTTTGTCTCTGTGTCAGCGAGAATACAGAACAATTACTGGCCCGATTTTCATGAAACTTTATGTAAGGTGTTGATTTAGGTCTTAATATATTTTTTCGATTTATTAATTTGTAGTAAATTCAATATTATGATATTCGTTTGGATTTATTGTGACCAATCAGATGATCAGCTGTAATAAAAGGAAGGGGTGGGACTGAGCCTCGGGCACATTTGTCTCGATCATGGAACGGGGAAATGAATGAGCCACGACAGAAGGGTTAAGCATGGGCCAAGGAAGAACGTTAACATTTTGGAGCGGATCCTAATCACAGAACGGAACACCATTTGTTTTACATTTGTTCAAATTGCAAATAGAGAATTTTGTGCTGCATTCATTAGAGTATTCAAAGAAAAATGTATTTGCAACTGGGACATCAATTATAAAAACAATCCACTTGGTAGAGCTCTTGTTGTTCCCTCATTAAGACTTAAAGCTCATGAAAACACCCAAGTGGGAAAAAGGTTTTTAACCCTTGAATTGGGACCGCCTAAGGAGTAAGTGAATGCACCACGAGCCTTGGTGGAAGTCCGAGCTCTCAGAGTGCTCTTGTCTGAAAGTCTATCGCTGCTTTTGTCAGTTTGAGCTGCTGTGCATGCTTCATGGACAGAAGCACACATCTCATCATTATTATACTGCCTGTTTATGGTACAATAACTTTGATGTGAGTGGTCCTGGCAGTGTGTTCATTATTAAACATGATAGTCAAAACAAGCATGTTAAATTAATGGCAATGCAGAAGTCTGTGATAACAGAGTGGTGCATTGACACACTATCTGCGCCGGCTTTGAGTTTAAATAACATAGGCGCCACCCCTCTAACACAGACCCTGCTCAGCATGCACATGCAGCTTTTATAGGTAAGGAGTGTTTGTTTCTCTTTTGATTAGACAACGAAAGCTTGTTTTACTAGACACACAAATCCTACTTATAAAGAATGTAAAAGGATTCAGGGAAGTCATATTCAGATATTTTACTCCATTATAACTTTACTAAGTAAAAACGTGGTATCAGAAATCTGTATTTTTAGTAAAAATATATTGATACTTTTGGGATTTACTGCGTACGTTTCAATTAGGCATTTCAATGCTCTTTATTGTTAAGTCATTAATAGTTAAATCGTGACCACCTGTTCAATATGTAAAATATTAATCTACAAAGATACTAGTGAATGATTATTTGTTAGATTAATGCAGTGTAGTAAAAAGTACTATACAATGAAGGCTAAAACGTCCCCAGTAAAGTAAAGAAAAATAGGGCAAAAGAAGGAAAAAGGTTAAAAGAATGACCGCTGGATGTCAGAGAAATCAACCAAAGAAGACAGACAGGAAGTAAACACCAACAGGAACACAGTATGGGCTCTGCAGTGTTTAAAGAATGGTTAATGGAAAAGAAACCGAACAGACTTGGACAGTTACAGAAAACCTTGATCAGTGCTGCCATCATTTTAAGTTATGCTGCTGTCGATGCAGTTCCAGCCGTTGGTACTCAGTGGAACGGACTATTTTTTCCAAGCGGAAGCAATACAATCATTTTTAATCAATAAATATTTTTTAATCAATGTCACGAATCAAGTTGATGATTTATTTATTAGGTAGCCGTGCAATAAGCGGGATGATGTGTAGCAAAGTCATCATACATGAACAAATTACACCGACAGGGTGATTCAGGATCCCTCCACTTTGGGTTAAGATCCTTCTCACCCTATCGCGGTTATTTATTCATTAATGACCATCTTGCTTCACATTAGTGCCTTGTTGTTACTGTTGCTCTACATAAAGAAGGGATTACACAGTTGTTTATTAATTGATTTAATTCCATTCAAAGCAGACTAGGGATTGGATATTAGAAGTAGGGATTGGATATTAGAGTATCGCAGCAGTGAGGATATGAGTCCATTGTTGAGCTGACTGCAAATACATTTTTCCTGAATATATCAGGACAAGTAAACAGGGTAAACATATTGCTTTGCATGATTGAAAAATACCGGCGCCACTTACTTAAATATGATCAAATAACAGGCAATAGGAATAACCTTTCGCCACAGTATTCTCTTCCAGGATGTTTCCAAAAGATGCTGGTGAAGTAGACTTTTATAGATGCATTAATGAATTTATAGGTGTGTGTGTATCACCCCAACAGAGACCCATTTGATGAATGTCTCACGATGCAATCAGTGATCCGAACAGCCAGTTAACAGATCAATATAATTCAAATCAGCCGGGCCTGATGCAGCAGCTTATGGTGCAATATGATGCTGCAGCTCAATACAGTGTTACAGTCCAGTGGACATTTGCATCAGAACTTGATTCATGATAATTGTTTTTAAACTGCTTGCTAGAAATAATTCTAACGCCTCTCCACCCTCTTAGATAAAACTGTAGGGATAGATGATGTGAACGTATGATTTGTAATTTCAAAGTAAACAATTATTGACAGCTGGACACAGTTTTGTTTTGGGATGGACTTTAAATGGGACAGGAAGTAGCCTCTGATGAGTGGTCAAGTCAACTAAGATGATTAAATTTAATTCTGAATACGATCTAGAAACTTAGAATAAAGACAAACATGACGTCTCCAATGCACTTTTATCTATGATGTATTTATTAGAATAATTCCATGAGCCAATTAATGAAATGAAATACAGAAATACTTTATTCATCCTGAAGGGACTTTTGTTTTGTTACAGTTGCTCTCTATTCAATTGAACAAAAAAGATGAATAAGAAAAATCTAAATTTAAATATTTATATAAACATTATGAATGAAAGTTAAAAATTAAATAAAGATAAATATATTTACATGAAGTTAAATAAAGTTAATAAATCAAAATATCCTATGAAAAAAAATGCATGTGTATACAAACATAAGAAGTTAAAGTGAAATGTGCACATTGTACTATATTCTGCATAAACATATAACATGTATATTACAATATATACAGTGGTGTATCAAAGAAAGCGCAGTTGTGGCAAATGTCACTGTTGTTTTAACTTTTGTTGTTGTTTTAACTTTTGTTGTTGTTTGGTTTCTTTCCGTTAACTGTCAAGTGGGAAATAAGTATTTGTTTGTGTTTCTCTTAGTATCCTAAGATACTGTTATGTTTGGCTGTGAAAAAAAAAAAATATATATATATATATTATGGAGGGGAGACCATCTATTTTCTATTTTTTTTTTTTTTTAGAAAGGGGCAGGTCATATAACATTTGTTTTCTTTTCCCTGCTCCTTTTCGCTCAATGGTGTGTTGTAGAGATATGTTTTGTTGGCAATTATTGTACATTGGGTTTTGCGTACCATGAGCGAGACAAATAAAAATGAATTGAAACTTAGAGATATCGTTCAACTTAAGATGTAACTGGAATGAACAGGACAAAAATCCTCTAGATGTATCATATTTAATAGGAACCTTTATTTTACCTGCTTGTGCATTTTCACTATCATCGTCGTCCTCTTCCTCTGTGCCGGCTGCTTCCCCCCCCACCGGATCCATCACGATACACTCTGCTACTCCTGTCTGAGAGCAACAGACACACAATTTCAGCTGTTATTGGCATGCATTTTAAGTTCATTGAGATTCAAAGGTTTATTGTCATAACATACGGTGTAATTATGTAATGTATGAAAAACTTAGATGGCAGGTTCCTGAACAGTGCAAATTGTACCCAAATTCAAATTTGTTATTTGTATTTTTTTGTTGTAAATATAAACAAAAATTCTGTGCAAGGAAAGAAAAAACTGAGCATCACAAGTTATACATATGGTCATTTTAAGGTTAATTTGAGCTTTCTGTGATTGGTCAACCACTTACATGTATAGATGTCCCGTCCCTTAGCATATGACATAACCATTTTCTTTTACTTTTACAAAAAATGAAAGTGTGAGAGTTTCATAATGTTGTCATCACCTTCATCACACACTACAAGAAAACCCCCAAAAAGCACAATAGGGCCCCTTTAAATGCAGATATGGGTTTTGTTGTGCTGCTTACCTTTAGAGACTCTAGCTGCACCACCTGACATTTCTGAAGCAGTTCCACAAACAGGTAGATAAGCAAAGCCTACATGAAAGAGAACGGAAAATATATATTACCAATTTGAAAATGGGTTCAAGTTTGAGTCATAAAAACACTTGCAGCCCTTTGGAGTCCATACCATTTTAACATTTGAATAAATCAATCTATTCATACTCCTGTGAATGACAGGGAAGCTTATTAAAATACTATGTATGCTATCTGTGATCACCATGACAGCATGTATGGTTTATGTTCTATTATCTTACATGAGAAACTAGAATTCAACGTGTCAAAACATGTCTCTACTGTATGCTGTTGTGTATGATTTAGCTGTGCATATTTAAATGAAGGACATTGTTAGGGAAGTATTTTCCAAGGCCCATAACTTTGACCCAGTTTATCAGTTCATAATGTCCTGACTGAGCACAGGCACCTGTAACCTTGGCTGCTGTGCTCTCAGTGTTTTGTCTCCCTGTTCCTGCCTGTTGGCGTCAGCTGATAGAGGTGTTGTGATTCTATCTTGTTATGCAGCATGTTGATTATTCTCTCAGAACTAGCTAAATACATGGGTCTGGGGTAGAGCTCTTCAGAATTGACGTGGCAACTCTACCGTGAAGTCAGACCTCTGACTCTTGACTTGTTTTGTGAATTCTCCGGCCGAAGCTCCTAAATAAACCCTCCAGTGTTTGACATCAAAGCTCCAGCCCTCCCCGTGTCTCCTTTTGAGTCGGGGACTCCTCTTGCATTGTTACACAGAAGTTTCCCCCAAATCAGTTATGATTATTATTATTATTGAACTGAAAAACATAAACTTTATGAATGACAATCACTCAAGATGTGTGGTTATTACAAGTTCATGTGTTTATTTGTGTTGTGGTTTGTTAAAGTGAATAACAATGCATTTAATGA